TACACATACACATACACATACACACACACACACACAGTAAAGCACTATGTGGCCCTCTGATAGTGTCAGAGAATTGTGGTCTCTTCCGTCACTTAAGTTGGCCATTCTTATAGTTGTGTTTTGTTTTCCGTTTTCAGTTGGATGAGGCGGCCATTTTTAATTACATTTGTTTCAAATGGTAATTATTTGTAGAGGTACATTTAATGATTGTTTCCACAAAGGTCCATTAAAAATCTGTCCAGTGGTTCACGAGACATTTTGCCAAGAGACCAACGCGCACAAGAAAAAACATCATTGGCAGCACAAGAGAAAAGTGATTCAAGACAAATCAGAGCAAAAGAGGAAATGAAAAGATTAGAACACACTGTGACATTTGATCAACTTGGAAAATACCACTCACTGCTTCGGATAAACAAAGTTTTTCGCAAAAAAAAAAAAACCTCCTGCTGCACTTTGATGCAAATGCGCAGCGGCAGCCAGAGTACACACGCAGCAGTATACCTGGCTGGCTCTCTCTGCTGCATTCCTCCCAGTTCTTTTTTCCGCTCTCATTTCCTGACCTCATTCTGAGCCCACAAACTAATGAGCAAAGAAAATTAAATAAATAAATAAAAAACACAAAACCTGCAGCAGGATGCAGCACTGGGAGAAAATTACCCTGTTATTCACAATAGATTGCTGTTATGGGAGCTTATCTGTCTACCTTTGTGCGGCAGATGTGTTTACCTCCCAGTTTGCCCTTCTGCTAGGCCCGTCTGGATCATCCTGTGCAGTCTAAACACCGTGCTGCGGAGGCGGCAAGCTGCACAACGTGATGCTAAAGCAGGATAATCGCCCCACAGGTTCGTCTTTAAAATCGTCTAATCGGCGACAGACAGTCAGCAGCCAGGATTCATTTCAACTCTTGCAACCAGACAGAACGCCTAATTATTTATGCATTTATAACGCTGCAGTGTTTTCCATGCGAACCCCACAYGAGCAGACACACCACGTCCTGAAGGCTCGCCCCCGTTTACCGTTCAGCACTTTTCTTATTCCAGCAAATCCTTGCTCGCTGTCTTGATGTGGTTTGCACAGCTCCACATGTCATGTGGGCTTTCACTTCAACCTGTCATTTGAACAGAGACAAACCCGCCTTCAAACACAACTCAGGCGGCTCCCAGAACCTCTGGCAACATCTGCGCACAAGCCKCAGAGTTCTGGACGTCCCCTTGAGGCTTCGCGATTCGGCTAGCGGAGCTGTTTGCCGTGGACGGATTCAAAGCAAAGACTCCTTATCCTGCGTGTTTTACTTGTTTTCTCGGCTCCAACACACCCGATTCAGTGATCGTATTACCTCTTCGAGTTCTGCAAAAGCCTCTTAATCACTCATTTGGTCAACGCAAGTGTGTTGGAGCAGAGAAACCTCTAAAAGTTGCAGGATACTGGCCCTCGAGGACCAAGATTGCCTCTGACAGACAGCGCATCCCGATCAATATCTCTTGATGAATCCAATAAAAAAAKAACATTTTGTTGACATCTTAGAATAATCTCAATGCAGATCTACTGTTTGACTTGAAGTCTGCTCTGTGCTGAACTGATCCGTTTACCCGATGTGTCCGGTTTATTCCCGAGTGTCCTCACTTCACAAGAACGTCAATAAGAAAAACTAAAATACCATCAGCCGGAGTCAGTGGACCATTTGGCAGAGCAAGAAGAAGTTGGACGGTTGTTTTATGCGCCTTCCTGACTTTATCGTCAGCGCTCGAATATTTATGTCTCGTCTGAAGGGTCCAACAAATTAAAGCCGTTCTGTTTGAGTTTAAATAAAAGGGAGAAGTGCGACGAGGCCCAGTAACTCTTGAGAAATTGGTCTGACAATAATGAGAACCATGATAAGGTTCCTCAGGTCAGGCTTCAGAGCAGGACCGGCCTGTGGCATAGGCAGTGTAGGCAAATATTAAGGGCGCCATCCATCTAGGGGGCACCACCAATGAGGGACAAAAACAAATTATACTTTTTATCAGAGTATAGTTGATTTAGTGTGTAGAATAATCACTGGTTCCTCAGGTTTATGAAGATAACTTCTGTGGGTTTCTCAGCTTTGTTCCTACATGAGGCATCTTATGGAGCAGAGGATATTTTATGATAAAAGTATCATATGATGCAGTCAAGACTAACTACTGGTGCTCAGTGAGTAAATGGAAAAGAAAATAATGATAATCGAAGTTTCAGTTAAAGTCTGGTTTTCAGTTTTCTACTTTCATAAAATACTGATTTATGAACAGTGCTTAATATTGCGATGACGATATGACTTGTGATAAATAAACAAATACATAGTATGTAGTGTTGATGTCTTTCTGCTCTGGGGTCAAAGCAAAAAAAATATCTTGATTCCAGAATGAATTTTTTAAAAATATGAAGAGATCCATCAATTGTCCAAATTCATTAAAGGCTACATTTGATTGGTGGTTCTGTCTGAGTGACAAAACTCAAATGCAAACTTTTGAGCAAACCATGTGGTACACCTTTTGCACAGGCTGTGAC